CATGACACAGCACCTCACCGGATACACTGTTTACTACTTTGCTCTTTCAACGTCTGAGAAATCACCCACTAAACTCGAAGCTCTGCTACTACCACCCTCTTTACCGCCGTCATCACAATCTCCATCGTCACGTCACCTGTTGTTTTTCTCCTTTCCTGGTATTTCGGGGAGGTTTTCACCCTAATCTCTCCTAAAGCCCTTTTCACAGACTTGGGACCAGGAGTTAGTCTTTCAACGTGTTTGTGTACGTTCCCAGAAACGGCCTCTTTCTCTCTGAAGGAAAAGGTGTCCAGCCCCTACTTTTCTCGCAAAATTATGACATTTCCTCCTTTGGGGAGACATGAGCGCTAAACTCCTGATGGGTAAGTTATGTAAACGGCATTATTGGTCATTTAGATAAGAAGGACCATCTTTCCCCAGAATCTCAATGTAGAGGGAAGGAAAGGCCGGGTTCGAGGATCCCTGCATCTGCCTGGGTTCCGTCCGGAGGCAGGAACCACAGCTGTTGACGTAGGGACAGTTTAACATAGAAATTATTCGGTCATGATACAAGAGTAACTGTAAGATGTGAAGAAACTGCCCGGCCAGCGTGGCTCAGGGGTTGAGCATCGACCTATGAACCAGGAAGTCACGGTTCGATTCCTGGTCAGGGCACAGGCCCAGGTTGTGGGCTTCATTCCCAGTGTGGGGCGTGCAGGAGGCAGCCGACCGATGATTCTCTCTCATCATTGATGCTTCTATCTCTCTCCCTCTCCTTTCCTCTCTGAAATCAATAAAAATATATTTTTTAAAAAGATATGAGGAAACTCTAAATGCCCTAAGGATGGGAAAATACTCGAGGAAGGAACGCTCACACGGGTGGCTCTGCGGGTGGCGGGGAAGTTGGCTGTGGGGTCCGTGGCTGAACACGCAGCACCAGCCGTGTGTGGAGCAGACGGCGAGGAGCAGTGAGCTGCCTGAGCTACTTACTAACCACCAGACCATGGGAACGTCCTCAATCCATAAGCTCCGTGTCTGCAACTGCCACATAGAAATAACTGCGTGTATTTAAAAGTCCGTCGAGGGAAAGCCGGGGGGGGGGGGGGGACACACTGATCTTACTCTCCAGTTTATTTCCCGCGTTTCCATCCAAGCATCCGCATTCCCAAAGGAACAGCTTCTCGGATATCTGTATGCACTTGTATTGATCTATGCATCACACTCAATCTTTAAGTCTAATGTTTACGTCCATGCTGCTGCGGTTGTGTGTGTGTGTGTGTGTGTGTGTGTGTGTGTGTGTGTGTGTGTGTCTTAGGTAACATTCTTCACGCTAACTTTCCAAAAGCCACCCACCCCCTCGGCGAAGGACCGCCTGTGCGTGTGACTGTCCTCACTGCCCTGGCCAGAGGCACGTCGAACGGAACACTTCTGTAGACACACAGAACCAAGCCGATGCTGCCAGCTGGCTTCGTGGCTCCTTGAGAGGCCCAGGAATCAGGAACGAGCACTGAAATGACAAGCACCGAACTCGCAGACACGCCTGCGGCCACGGGGAGACGTGCCCTGCCGTCCAAGGCCGTGGGGGAGGCCCGGGCAGTGGCCGCGGAGACCCGGCAGAGAGGAGCCGAGCGTCGTTCCTCACAGCCTCCCCTCCTGCTGTCCCGCCCCTCGGACCTCCGGCACCCGAACCCCGAGAGCCGGGCCGCAGCCTCCCCAGTCCTCACACCGACACAGGTCACACTCAGGGTCCTCCCCTCCTCAGACGCTGAGTCTGATCTTCCCGTCTGAGACGGCACCCGATGGCTTTTTAAACCAAACTTCACTTTTCAGAGCAGCTTCACATTCACAACCAAACTGAGCAGAAAGCACAGAGGTTCCCCCCCGCCCCCCTCCCCCCGCTGCCCCCACAGCACAACCCTCCCATCAGTAACGCCTGCCACCAGAGGGTCCGCCCGGACCATTTCACAGGCGCACGGCCCCTCTCCCGACCATCACACCTTCTTCAGGGAGGCGCTGAGGTCTCCGGCCATGTTTGAGTTGGGTGGCTGGTTGGGTGGCTGGTTAAACTTCGAGTTTAATGGGTAATTTCTCAGATGTTGAAAGAGCAAAGTAGTAAACATAGTCACAGGCCCATGTATCCGGTGAGGTGCTGTGTCATGGCCTCTTCGCGCAATGACGGGAGGTGAATGATGGGTGCGCACGCGTGTGCTGAGCAATGTCTTGACTTTGCGTGAGGCCTGAGGCACGTCCAGGGGAGCAGCCACCCAACACTCTTGGTGTGGAGTTCTGAGAGCCCTTGGCACACTCTGTCCTTCTTCAGGAATGTCTTCGGCAGATGTTTTCTCCCAGTCGGTGACTCGTCTTCTCGATCTCTGGACGTCGTGGGTCACAGAGAGACGTTCCTGATGTTAATGGGGCCCAGCTGGCCCCTTCTTTCTTTCATGGGCCATGTCCCTGGTTTTGTATCAACAAGTCATCGCCAAACTCAACGTCATCTAGGTTTTCTCCCGCGCTGTCTTCTAGGAGGGCTGTGGCTCTGCCTTTTACCTTTAGGTCTGCGATCCACAGTGGGTTGATTTTGTGAAGGGTGCACGGTCTGTTTCCAAGGTCAATGTCTCTGTGGGCAGATGTCCAGTTGTTCCAGCCCCACTTGTTCTCTGCTTCTTATTCAAAGAGCAGTTGACTATATTCGTGTGAATTATATGGGGTCTCTCTACTCAGCTTCACTGATCAATTATTTTTTTAATGTTTTTCTGTCTTGATGACTGCAGTTTAAAGTAAGGCTTGAAATCGGGTAGTGTCAGTCCTCCAACTTTGTTCTTCATTGTTGGCTGTTTTCTGGCTCTTTGCCGCTCCATATAACATTTGTAATCTTTTTGTCAATATTCAAAAAATAACTTGCTGGAGTTTCTATTGGGATTGCTTTTGATCTATAGGTAAAATAAGGAAGAAGCACTGACACCTTGACAATATTGAGTCTTGCTACCCATGAACGTGAAATAATATATTTTGTTCGTTTTTTAGTTCTTCCTTCATTTCTTTCACAGAGTTCTGTAGTATTCCTCATGTAGATCTTGTACATATGTTTAGACCTATATCAAAGTATTACATTTTGGGGACTGCTATTGTAAGTGGTATTATACTTTAAATTTCAAATTCCATGCACTCTGTGTTGATATGTAGGAAAGCAATGACTTTTATATAGTAACTTTATATACTGAAACCTTGCTATATAATCTCTTATTAGTCCCAGGAGGGTTTTTGTAGATTTATTTGGATTTTCTAAATAAACAATCATGCCATGTGGAAAAAGACAGTTTTATTTCTTTTTTTTCCTATCAGTTAATCTGTTTTTGTCATATTGCATCTCAAAGACTTCCAGAATGATGTTGAAAAAGCAATAGATAAAGAGGGCATCCTTGCCTTTTCCTATCTTAGCAGAGACGTTTCTGGCTTCTCGCCACTAAATATGCTGTTAGCATCAGGGTTTTTGTAGAAATTCTTTATCAAATTGAGGAAGATTCTCTCTATTCCCAGTTACTGAAAGTTTTCATCATGAATGGGTTTTGGATTTTGTCAAATGCTTTTTCTGCCTCTATTGAAATGATTGTGTAATTTTTCTCCTTTAGGCTATTGATATGATGGGCTACATTAAGCAATTGATGAGGGTTGAACCAACCTTGCATAATTGGCACAAATCCCAGTTGGTTATGACATATAATTCATTTTATCTATTGTGGGATTCAAATTCATAATATTTTGTTGAGAATTTCTACATCTATGTTTATTTAAGATATTGGTCTGTGGTGGTTTTGTTTCTTGCAGTGTCTTTACCTGGTGTTGGTATTAAGGTAATGATGACCTCATAAAATGAGTTAGTAAGTATTCCTTTATTCTATCTCCTGGAGGTATTTGTGGGACATTGGTATAACTTATTTCTTAAATTTTTTGTAGAATTTACCATTGAATTCATTCTGGTTTGATGCTTTCTGTTTTGGAATATTATTGCTGATTCAATTTCCTTAATAGATATAGTCCCATTAAGATTTTATATTTCTTCTTGCAGCTTTGGTAGGCCATTTGATTTTTTATAGCAAGTAACTGTTTATCAGTTATTATAAAAGTGTTTATAATTGTTTATTTACTTTATTTACTTATTTATATGTCTGATAGCTACTTAAACTTTTGTCTTACTCCCCCACTAGAATATGCCCTCTTTGAATACAAAAATAATCATTCTTATTCAACATTGCATTAAAGCACATCACAGAAACTAAAGAAGACATAAATATATGAGGAGATATACCATGTTCATGGATTGGAAAACTCAATATTGTTAAGATGTCTATTCTACCCAAATTGATCTATATTCAACTCAGTCCCAATTGAAATCTCAGCACAATATATTTATGGATATTGACAAGCTAATTTTAATGTTTATATAGATACCAAAAACAACTAAAATAGCCAAAATAACTTTGAAAAGGAGTATCAGCATACTCACATTACTTAATATCAAGATTTACTACGACCCCGAAGTAAACCACCAGGCGGCATGGGTGAGGGAAGGGGCACATCTGGTAGATGGAGGAGTAAACAGACCCAAGGAGGAGCTGAACCGTGGCTGCCTAACATGGCAGATGGGACGCAAATGCTAATCTCAGCGATGACTCCGGCCACAGAGACACAAATACTTGCAGGAACAAATGCCATTCGTTTATTGAAAACTGTAATTTTTTCAAACTACGGTGTACTTATTCCCGTGGACAATACATTGAATAGACACTAGAGAATAGAAAAACCAAAAATTGACATTTTGAACATAATCAAAATCCAATCTTCTGTCTTCAGGGTGTATAATGGACGCATTCCTACTTCCTCAATAACAACAAGACTGATGTAAAAACAGGAGGTGTCCAATCCTTACTGGAGTGTAGAGATGATGAATGGGGCATCGTTCGGAGGAAAAGCATTAATTTTCAATATTATGTTGGAGGCGCAGGGTGTTCTAGGCAGATGTTCTAGCAGCAAGAGGAATAGCATCGTCGGTAGCAGGATGGTCGGAAGGTACAGCAGCCACTGCCATAGCCACAGCCGTAGCCAGAGCCATAGCCAGATCCGTAGCCACAGCCATAGCCAGATCCATAGCCACAACCATATCTGGATCCATAGCCACAGCCGTAGCCAGATCCATATCCACAGCCATAGCCAGAGCCATAGCCACAGCCATATCTGGATCCATAGCCACAGCCATATCTGGATCCATAGCCACAGCCATAGCCAGATCCGTAGCCACAGCCATAGCCAGATCCGTAGCCACAGCCATAGCCAGAGCCATAGCCACAGCCATAGCCAGAGCCGTAGCCACAGCCCCCGTAGGAGTTCCCGTAGTAGTTGCAGCACATGCTGGCGGAGGGTGAAGGTTGAGTTGAGGTGAAGAGGGACGTTTCTGAGTGTGAATGTCGCCTCCTCCCCTGGAAGCTTTATATCCGCCAGGAAGGGCCTGGGAATGCCATCGCGTCTGTGACTCACGCAGGAAACATTCACTTCACGCCCGGTATGTGCAGGTCACTCCTGTCAGTGGATCATGAGAGGACTCGGTAGTAAATGACCATTAGTATAGAGTCTCTCACTTTTACTGGGAACCGTGTTTGTTTTGTGTCGCCTGGGCCTTGTCTTGAGCCAATGACATGTCCATAAGGTGAGTTTCCATCAATTATCCAGTTACCTGAACACATGATGCCAGCGATGCCTTTTAAACAACAAGGCTCCGGGCGGGCAGGGGAGTCTATGCTGGGAACGCAGCCATTCCACTGAGCGTGGCCAGCTTAGGACACGCTGACTGCGTCACAGGTCATCTCACGGGACCCAGCGCTGCCCTCCACAGACACTGCTCCCCGTCGCACAGCACAGAGCTCCTGTGCGTCCAATCCGTGGCACAGTCTCGTCTGAGGATGTATTTTTACCCCGAGGGCCACTCCTCAGTACATTTTTATCCATTCGAGGTGGTCATTTACTTCAAACCAAAATAACACACACACACATATCCTCTATTGTAACTGCTGAATGTTTGTTAAATCACACATTTCAGAGATTTTAATCTACTGGGTCACAAGGAAATTGTAAAAGTGGTAGGTCTCTTCTTTCAATAGGAAACTGGGCACCAAACGGTGAGGAAACTCACTGGGTTCCACAGCGAACACGGCACCAAGGTCTGTCTCTGTTCCTCTTCGTTCTGCGACGTGAAGTCTCCCTTTCTGACCCCTGGAGGCCTGAGCGCTCGCTGGGCCAGGAGCTCGTTGTCGCGAACGGTGACCTGTTCGTGGGGAAATCACTTTGTCATAAAGTCCCCAGTCACCTCGAGTCTCTCATTCTTCCCGGGGACACTCTGGGTCCTGCATGAACTTTCCTTCAGCACCTTGTTCAGGAGCCAGTCCCCTCAGGCATGGCTGAGGGGGCCGCTCCCCCTCTCCCTGTCCCTCCAGTGGGTTTGTCTCTGACATCATCCCCACGACTGGTCTCCTGACCTCTGTTGATGCACAGACCTGACCCCCAGGTCACCCACGCCCCCTGCACCACCACCCCCAGGTCACAGAGAGGACCGCGAGGGGCCTGTTGTAGTGACCGCACAGGAGCAGCAGGGGCAGCGCCCACCTGTGGTCTCACAGGCCTCGTGGGTCTGGGGTCTGAGCTCAGCCTGACTGGCATCTCGGCTCCAATTCTCACAAGGTCACACCCAAGGAGTCAGCCAGGACTCGGGGGAATGCCTTCACTTTATCAATTAAACAGAGTCGCCAGATTTGATAAGTATGACCCCAATAGTGCACGCAACTTATTTATACTAAAAAATATACTTTGGGACTGAGCCAGTTTGGCTCAGTGGATAGAGAGCGTCAGCCTGCTGACTGAAGGGTCCCAGGTTGGATTCTGGTCAAGGGCACATGCCCGGGTTGCGGGTTCGATCCCCAGTGTGGGGCATGCAGGAGGCAGCTGATCCATGATTCTCTCTCCTCATTGATGTTTCTCTCTTTCTCCTTCTCCCTTTCTCTCTGAAATAAAAAAATATTAAATATAGATATATAGTAGCCCGGTGCACAAAATTCGTGCACATTAAAAGGGAATTAATTGCCCTAACCGGTTTGGCTCAGTGGATAGAGCATCAGCCTGTGGACTGAAGGGTCCCAGGTTTGATTCCGGTCAAGGGCATGTACCTTGGTTGCGGGCACATCCCCAGTGGGGAGTGTGCAGGAGGCAGCTGATCAATGTTTCTCTCTCATCGGTGTTTCTAACTCTCTATCCCTCTCCCTTCCTCTCTGTAAAAAATCAATAAAATATATTTTTTTAAAAAGGGAATTAATTAGCAGGGATATTTTAATATTGCTATTTGCCCTTTCTCTATAATAGAAGTGTGAGAGATGAAAGGAAATTAGTAAAATGTATATGAAAATAATATATAAATTTATTAATAAATAAACAGTAACAAAAGGAGCTGATTCCGTGAGGAAAGGGGCTCCCTCCTCCCTCCTGTCAGGGTCCGGGGTGCAGGAGAATGGGGTTCCTGGCTGGCAGGCCACTGACAACAGGCTATCCAACAGCGGATTCTGTGAGGAATGGGGCTCCCTCCTTTCTACTGTCAGGGTCTGGTTTGAAGGTCGGCCATGCCCCCTGTGGGGCCAGACCCAGAGTTCTACCATGCCGTGGCCTCCACCTCAGCAACCCAGGACTGACTGCTGCTGGGCACTCCTGGTGCTCCGAGGGTGGGTTCTTCCCACAGGCCACACGGAAAACAGCTGGGGAGGGTGCAGCCCTTGGCAAAAAGACCCAGGATTCAGTGGGTCCATGCTCCGAGGGCGGGTTCCTGCCTCAAACCCCGCCCTCACCGGAAACAGCTCCGGGAAACAGCTCGGGGGAGGGCGCAGCGGTTGCCAAGACAACCCCTGCAGGACTGACTTCCTTCCACTTGGTCGCTGCGGTTCAGGTTGTGATGAACGCCACCCATGGTTTTTATATAAGTAGATTTGTATTTCTGTATCTGAAATTCAAATGTATCCATCTTGTGTTTTGCCTGTCGGCCCTAAACATTCATAATCACAGAAGTAACATCCCATCATCGCCTTTGCCGAGGTGAGAAGCAAGTGACAGGTCGCTCCCACCATGACGGGGAGGGGCTCCGGGGAGGGGCTGTGTGTCCTCGGGGACCATCTCGGACTCTCATGCCCGCCCCTGAGCATTCGCTCCTTCAGCGCCACGAACGATGGCGTCGTCCAGGACAGGCGACGAGCTGCCGCCACGAGGCTCAGCGCCTGGGCGTCCTCCATGTGCTCCCTCCTCCTCCCTGCTCAGAGGCCGTTTCTCTTCTATGGTTGACCAGCTCCTGCTCATCGTGCATATTTAACCTGGAATGTTGTCCTTTTTCCAGAACTATTCCTGACCTTTCTCTCTACTTACTCTTAGTCCCGCCTCCCTGGTGTTGTCCCAAGCACCCCTGTGTGTGACTGTCTCCTCACGTCCTGGTCTGTGTGGCTGAGGGCTCCCTGCCTTTCCCCAGCTCCAGGAGCAGGGGTGACATAGGTCAGCCCTCCGTTCACGGCTCGTAATGAAATGTCCTTTGTCAGAAGCTCAGGCCACATGTGATGAACGGGACGATGCACTCCTCTCGCTCACAGGAAGTGGTTCTATTTCTTCAGGAAGAGCTGTCAACTCCTCCTCTTTTGCCCTTTCTCCTCCCAAGACAGCAGTGTCTTTCCGGATCCCAGGGATCCCGGGAACGAGGGCCATTAAACTGTGACGTTAGTGCTGGAAGTCTTTGCGGGTCCCCCACGGAGATGGGATTTCTAACGTCAGAACACGTAGAGACGGGCCTCGCCTCCCGGATGTGAGAGCCTCCAGTTCTGTGTTTCCCGGGGACCAGCCTCACCATCGGCCACCGGGCAACAAGCTCCGCTCCATTTCTCACCTGGGGCACCGGGCAGGGTGGGGGCAGAGCGGATGCAGAACACCGTTCGCTCCACCCTCTCCCTGAGTTTGCAGTTTCCCCTCAAACACCCTCGTGGTGGGGACCCTGCCTGGGCCCAGACACACCCAGTGAGGGCGCCCCAGACGAGGGCATCGCCCTCATCGCAGGGGGGTCGGGGACGAGAGAGAGCTCTGCGTGAAGGCTGTGTCCCCATCGTCCGCCCCGCCCGCTCAGAGTGCAGACAGACAGACGGACACGCTGCAAAGCTGGCCGCCTTCCGGTCTGTAGCTGGACAGACCCCCTGATGCCCGCACCCAACGTGCTGAGAAGAATACAGACCTTTCAGAGATGATCTTCTCTAGGATTCCTCCCTGCGTCTAAGGCCTGACAGGCCCCCCTTTGCCAAGTCCCTGATGCTCACCTGTCCCCTCCCATGACCTGCCCACACCCAGACCCGGCTCCTCTGGCCGGTCTCCCGGTCACTCTCACACAAACTCGTGAGCCTCTGTGGGAAGCGCGCCAGGGTCCCCGGATAGTCCAGGCCAAGGGGAGCACAGAGCCTTGCTGTCAGGACACCAGAATGGCCAAGGCCGCTCGGAGCAGGAGCCTCATCGGATGCCCTCAGCGGGTGCAAGGACACACGGCAGACGGTGCCCTTCTCCGCCGATAGGATGTCTGTCGCTGTGGGCAGCTGGCCTTCCTGTCCAAGGAGTAATGTCCAGGCTCCTGACCGGAGGAGTGTATGTGTGAAGAATTCTGCCAGAGAGAGAGCAGCAGGCAGAGCAGAGAAGAGAGAGCTCAGAGAAAGGGGGGGGGGCACAGAGAATGTAGCTCCTGTGTGTGCAGGAGAGGGGAGCTCAGGCGGAGCTGAGAGCTGGGACTGCTCTGCCCTAAGGCTGAGAGCTCACAGAGAGCTCAGGGACCACTGCCATGTTCCCCAGCCAGGGAGGGGCAGGGAGCCAGGAGGGGCAGGGAGCCAGGAGGGGCAGGGTGCCCGGAGGGGCAGGGAGCCAGGAGGGGCAGGGAGCCGAGAGGGGCCGGGCGCCTGGAGGAGCTGCTGAGCCGGAGTTCAGGCGCCGCCCACGATGTGAGGCGGCGAAGTGT